GGGGTCTATCGCGCCTGTAAAATATTATACAACAAAACCTTATTAAAATATTATCAGTGTTATTGAAATTCTCTAGGAATAATTGTGATTCATTAGAAGAATGAATTTCATAAATAATTGAATTGCAAATTGAAAAATGGAAATCAATGCACAAGTCATTTTTTTTTGTCATTTGGTACTGTAGTATATTTTTTTACTTGTCATATTCGGCGCTGTCATTTTATCCTATGATATCTGCTGTAATATTTTTTAATATTGCCTTGTCACATAATATTATGTATTTATAATATTTAAGACTGTAACCGATTGAATTTTTTCTCCAGCCAGTATGTCATCAATTGGAACGCCAATCGGTTGTCTGTTAACTGGTTACTTAATGGACCTCTTGGGTCGCAAAAGATCCCTGATCATCACCGAGGTGCCAGCATTTTTGGGTTGGCTCCTGATAGCTTTTGCGACAAACGTGGAGGCGATCTACGCCGGTCGCTTCTTCGTGGGTCTCGGTTCAGGAATGGTGGGAGCCCCAGCACGTGTCTACACATCAGAAGTGACACAGCCCCACCTGCGAGGAATGCTGATAGCCCTGGCATCAGTGGGTGTCTCCACAGGTGTCCTGATAGAGTACGCCCTGGGGAGTATTCTCCACTGGAAGGTGGTAGCAGGGATCAGCTCCTTGATTCCCCTTGCAGCCCTCATCCTGATGTTCGCTTTTCCGGAGACCCCGTCGTACCTCATCTCCAGGAGCAAGCCAGAGGAGGCAAGACGAGCCCTTCGGCAATTTCGAGGCAGCAAGTATGATCTGGACAGGGAGATGGAGACCCTCGTTAACTTCTCGAAGAAGAACAATCTGAAGAGGTTGACGGGCTTCAGGGAGATATTCCAAGCGCTGACAAAACCCAATGCTCTCAAACCTTTTGCTATTCTCGTTATTTACTTCTTGATTTATCAGTGGAGTGGTACGAATGCTGTGACATTTTATGCTGTTGAGATATTCAAAGCCTCGGGGACGAGCATCAATGGATATCTGGCGACTGTAATCTTGGGGGTGGCCAGGTTGTTGTCCACGGTTGCCGCTTGTATTCTCTGCAGAAGGTGTGGCAGGAGGCCGTTGACACTGATATCATCGGTGGGATGTGGACTTTCTATGCTCGGGATGGGGGGATACGAGTGGCTCAGGGAGTACTGGGTTCATAACGATGTAACACCCACTTGGACCTGGATTCCAGTCTTCTGTATGTTCTCCTATACAGTCGCCTGCACCCTCGGATTTCTCGTAGTTCCCTGGGTCATGATCGGTGAAGTATATCCTGTTCAGGTCAGGGGAATCATCGGGGGCATCACCACTATGACTGCTCACTCCTTCATCTTCATGGTCGTATACTCATTCAGAGTTCTCAAGGACTCTCTCACTGAACATGGGACTTATCTACTTTTTGGATCCATCTCCTTCTTCGGCTCCATTTATTTTTATGTCTGTCTACCTGAGACGAAGAATAAGAGTCTTCAGGAGATTGAGGATTACTTCTCGGGGAGGCCATCAACTGTCAAGACTGGAAAGATATTCTGGAGAAGACAGAAGGTCGCACCTGTGGAGAAGAATTGAAGAGCTTCGGAGAAATATTTCGGCTTTTTTTGGATGTATCTCCGGTTTTATGAGGGATAGCGAAATTTTTGATAATACCTTTTTTGTACAGATTATCTTTCTCTGCAAAAAACGTTCTGAGAAGATTTTTGGTATCTCTCTTGGATTCCGAGATATACGATAGAACTCACGTGGGCAATGAGTCGACTCTTGAAATTTTAGTCTTAATGATGTTACGACGGGTTTTATTCCTGGATATGAGATTTCGTGGATACTTTGTTTGTGGGAGTTCTTGAAGAATAATTGGGAGAGTGATGTAGGAAATGAGTGCGTCGAGTTTTTTCGAATGTGGTACGTAAATGAACTGATAAAAATGATAAAATTTGAGGAAATCCAGTTCATTTTTCATAACTATCAATTTATCTCCAAAACTATCAGTTTTATACATAAATATAAAAAGACCTTTTCTGTAGCTGATTAAATTCCCAATAAAAAAGTCTTTTGGGATTTTTTCCTAAAATCAATGCTTCTCGGATGAATCAACATCGACGTGAGTTAATTTCAACGTCATCTTCGAAAAATCGAAATTTTCAAAATATCCAGATGCAAACAGGAAAACGTACCAAGGTTCGGATAAATTCCACGCGTAGGTGCTATTTATTCTTATCCGTGCCAAAATAGATGAAGATAATAGGAAATACCAATATTTACCACTATCAGTAGATAACGCAAAGCTCAAATCCCACGGAACTAAAAAAATGCAGCAGCGACTTATTTTTGTAAGATAAATAACAGACACTAGTTGTACATAACTATAAAATCATGTACATATTTCTTGAGAATGTATTCCCATCGCATTCAATCACAAAAATATATTTTTTAACAAAATTAGAGTTTCGAGTGCCGTCATTATCCAAATTTAATTTTTCTATTTTTTCTACGAGATGAATTTCAATTTCTCATAACCATTTCAACCATTTAACCATTAATTTTTTTAGAATTTGATTTTTTTATTAATGGAGGAAAAGTATTATTGCATTCTTAAAGCAAATCGATAGTTTATTAGCAAAAAGAGCGATTATGTAAATGCAGTGATCCACTTGTTTATTCCTTCATTTGTCTAGCAAGTATTATACATAATTGAAAATTCAATCGAGACTGATTCGTGGACGATTTCGTTTTAACCACCTCTTGTGCTCCTTTTCCTTGACAAATTGTCTAATCATGTGTTCAGGGAGGACTTCTCCTCGCCACTTGCTGGGGAGTCTGACGTTGTCGAGGATTTTTAATTTTGAATCAACGTAGCTTTTAGCATCGAACGCTTCAGCCTCCCGTATTTGCCCCAGGAGTTCAGCTTGAAATGCCTTCTCCTTTCTGAGTTCTCTCTTCTGCTTGAATTTCCTCCAGACGAATTTCATGCGCTTGCGGCGTTTCTTCAGCTTGTGACGACGCATTTTCCGGCGTCTGATGACAATAAGTCGAGCTGCCTCTTTCTCGATTATCTTCTGGGAGGGGAGGTCCAGGGATTCTTCAGGGGCTTTCTCTGATATCGGAATTATTGATTTCGGAAGGTCGTTAATAGCAGGGGAGGGACTCAAGGGGTTCTCGATTATCCTTCGGTGGATCCAATTGTTGGACAGAGGAAGGTCTAGCCTGAGGGTGGGCAAAGGGCTGAGGTGAAGACCAGGAGGCAATGCCATGTAATTCGTTGGAGGTGGAGCAGTTGGAGGTCCACATGATGTCGAGTACCTCAACGCCGAAGTTCCTGGGTGAAAAAACAATAAATGGTCATGTGCACAGAAAAATCATCTCATCAATTTTGTGTCATTTTTTATCATTTCTGTTGATTCTTTTTGGATTTCGATTGTTAAAGGAAAAATCTCTTCAAAAATTTCCTTTCAATTCGAAGCCTCTGATGAAAATGAAAGTGAATTTATTTTTATTGTTTCATTACTTGAATTATGTTTTCTCTTGATAATCATTCTGGAGGAATTCTTGGGGTATTTTTTTTAGATTTGTCTATTTTATTTAATTTGTTCCTCTTTGAAAATTCAAGAAGATGAAGAGAATTTGATGAACTGAGGAAATTATAGTGGATTACGTGGGAGAATATAAAAATTCAAGGTTATGTTGTTTCCGAAATAATTGAGAATTGGTAATCTTATTGGAAATTCCTGGAGTACAGAGTATTTACCTCCACAAGAAATTTTCAGGCGTCGCAGTATGTGACCAACGGCATTGACAGACATTTTCTCACTTCTTTTTCATGATTCAAAAATTTTTGGAAAGAGCTCTCAACCCCAACCTCAATTTATTTTTCAGAAAAATTGTCTGCGTGCGCATCTCCAATCATGTCAATCCTCTTTGCATGACACCTTCCGTCAAATCCCAGAATTCCACTAATTCAAAATTATCCCGCCATCAATCGATCCATTCATACGAGAAATTGAATTTTAAGAAAATATTCTAGATTTTCAGGTAAAAGATAAATTCTTCCTCAACAACTAATCCACAGTCAGCCAATTCTCTTTTCCAACGAACGTGTATTTAATTAAAAGGTAAAAATGTGAATAATCCAAAACAAAAAGTCTCTTCCACCAATTTATTCGATAATTAATCCATTCGTGTCTTGACGGTTCTGGTGGTGACCTTATCCTTTTCACTGTAACATAAATCAGATCCAAATGAATACGTGATAATAATTAGGAAAATTAAATGAATTAACAAAAAATAATACAAACATGATATGAACAATAGCTCCCCATCCAGACATGGCATCTCGATCACAGGCATTGACCAACGCCTGACTGACAGTCTCAAAAAGATCATCAGCTTCAAGATCAGGTTCATAAACAGTTTCACACATTCCATAGAGTTGATCCTCAGCTGTTCCACCAACGACGAAGTCATCAGGTTCATTCAGACACCCAATGAGATCCATATTACAAATATAGGGCTCAAAGGTGTCAGGATCGAGGCCAGCGATCACAGGCTCCACGAAATAACTGCCAAAACGTTTCTCATAGAGTAAATTCGAAACAACTGATGCAAATGTCTTGGGATGCATTCTGCGGTTCTCCTTGAGCTCGTAGAGATTCAATCGAAATCTCAGGCGTTCCATAACTGTTTGGACATCGGTGGCAAGACCTGGGATTCCCAGGAATAAATGTGGACCCATTTCGAAGATTTTTTGGAAGTCACAGGTAATCGTTTGAGCTTGAATACCGAATCTTCGATCTGCTGCTATCGCCACGCAGTTCTTACCCTTCATTGCTATCATAGCACCTCCATTGTACGCTAGAATACTCTGGAACACAAGAAAATATAAAGACATTTTACGAGAGCAATTGTTTTTATAGAATTGCTAGAAAAATTGGGGCATCTCTCCCAAGAGAGTTTTATCATTATTTATTAACAGGTTGTTTGACAGAAACTAGAATTACGAACAGGACGTAATATTATATTGATTATATATTATTATTATATATTTATTATATATATATCAGGAAATGGGAATCGGCGATATAAAATAGTGATAACAAATAGACTGACAAACAAATTTATGTAGAATCATGAAATTTTCTTCTTTAAGAAGCATGAGCAGCCTGGGTTCAGCAATAATTTAATGATGAATATATTTATAATAAAAGAAGTTCGAGATATTTTGTTTTTTTTGTTTATAACAATGCTCCCATTTTTCTTTGAGTGGTGCACGTCGAAATGAAAATTTCTAAATCCCTATTGTTAAATCCCTTTTAACGATCAATATTTAAAAAAAGAACTATAAAGCCGAAATATCGTAAGGCCCAAATGGACTGTCTGGAAAAGATAATTTACTCCAAAATTGGGACTTCTAATTACTCCGTCAATTAATCGTTTTTTCCGATAATTGTTAGCTAGCGGCCTAGTTGTTGACAACCGCTTGAACGCTAGCTAATAATTATTAAAAAAAAAACGATTAATTGCCAAAGTAATTAGGAATCCGAATTTCGGAGTAAATTATCTTTTCTAGATAATCCACCCGAGCCTTAAGGTTCCCAAAACTTCCTTCCCCAATAAAAACCAAAATCATAAATCACAATCCATTCTTCTCCCTCGACCAAAAATTTTCAAAACCCATTAAACTAATTTAAAAAAGTCTTAAGCCAGTATCAACAATTGTCCAGCGGTTTCTTTCAATAAATAAATATGAATTGAAAGGAATATCATCCCCTAAAACGCATTGTCATCGCAAAAAGCGGGATCTAACCTAAAAAAAAAAACCGGAAAACCCAATTCGCAATGGAAATCTCTGGATTAAAAAAAAATCAGTGAACAAATGGTCTAACGAAGAAATGAAAAAAACAATGGCACAAATATCCTCACCATTTTGACAGTTCGTTTTGTCCTCTCAGAAATAAATCCTCACCCTGGTCAGTTGACAATAGACAACCGATGAATCGCATGTGACGCCATATGCAGTCGATAAAACAAATTTCCCTCCTTCCACTCCCTGACGTCACAGATACGTTAAAATATTCCCACAGTTCAAAGATGGCTGTCTAATGTTATTGAAGAGTGAGATTAACGTGTTGTTATTATTAATCTCGTCATTCCATCATTTGAAAAAAAACTTCAGAACTATTTGAGAGAGAGTTAAAACTGAGTGACAACCAGAATTGAAAAATTGGCAGACAATTTTTTCGATTTTTCAAGTTTCTCCAGTGGTTTTTCGCTGATATCTCAGTGTGGACATTGCCATGCCGTTTCTGACCAGTAATTCACGTCTCGTGAAGAACAAGTGGAATTGTTGAAAAAGAAAAATCACAGCAAAAGGTAGGAATTTCTATTGTCTCCGTGAATTTTGGGATTTTTTTCTTCGGAGTCGCTTTATCAATTCTCGTGGTCAGTCAGCTGGTGATTTTGAACGCACGAGGTCATCTGATTCACCGATACTCGTGGATAAATATATTTTCATTTTTAATTTTGTTTTATTGGGATTCAAGCCATTTAGTGAATCAAGGACTGCCTCGGGCTTTTTTTCTTGGGCGGGGGATCTCTGGGTGGAGGGCGTCTTCTGGGGGATATATTTAGATTTTTTTTCTCAGGATTTTGGTGAGAGGCTCTAATTGGGGCGAGGGGGTGCTATTCGCGAGGTATATATCGAAAACTGCGAAATTGATGTCGTGGTTTTGGTAGGGTGGAAAATTTGAGGGGTTGGACGGACTTTTTTCGTGATTTTTTTGCGGAATTCGCGGTAATTCGGGTTTAGAGTAGTTGTGATCAGGTGCTATTGGTTACACGATGATTTGCAAAAGCTGCAGATTTCTGGCAGTGGTCCAACAATATCGAGAGTGTTTAAACGAATTCTTGAAGTTAGTGGTTTGAAATAGTTGATAATTTTTCAAATTCCGAAGATTTTCAAACCTAGGGAAATCCCTGGAAAGCTAGAATAATTCTTAAAAATAGAAAAATTTCAGATAATTTCTAAATAATCAATTCCCCTCGAAAAATAATTAATTTCAAATTGAGAGAAATCTATTAAAATTATTTATACAATAATACAAAAATGGGAATAACAATTTGTTAGTAATTTTAACAAAAGTATGAAAATGGTCTAGCGAAGAGTTGGAAGAGATGAAAAACAAAAACAAAATAGCCGTGTGAGATTTCCCGCGAGGAATTTCCCATTAAAATTATTCCCAATGACGAAATATAACGAATTCCAGATAAAGAAAAAACCTCATTGAACGATGTCCCTAAAACCGAAGAAAGTTGACTTCTCGCAGACCTGGGAGGTCCTCCAGGAAACGGTGAAGGGTGTGATAACTCTGGCGGACGTGCCTCGTTCAACCTGGAACGATCGTTTCTCGGACGTCTACTCCCTGTGCGTGGCATATCCAGAGCCCCTTGCAGATCGCCTCTACAACGAGACAAAACGCTTCTTAGAGTATCACGTGTCAACACTCCTGAGGCTCGTCTCGTCAGCTGGTGAATCAAATCTCCTGCAGTCGTACCACCGTGCGTGGACCGAGTACTCTCAGGGTATAAACTACCTCCACCGTCTCTACCTCTACCTGAATCAGCAGCACATAAAAAAAACAAAACTGACAGAGGCCGAGATAATCTACGGTACAGTATCCCCAAACTCCTCAGATTACCAGGAGATGGAGATGGAGATCGGTGAGTTGGGGCTTGACATCTGGAAGAGAACGATGATAGATCCCCTGAAGAAGTCCCTGGTGTCTCTTCTGCTGGAGGGAATCCATGCAGACAGAGTTGGTGGTGCCCAGCCCACGACAACAGACGTTATCTGTGGTGTAATCGAGTCATTCGTCAGGGTAGAAGCTTACAAAATTAAAGGAGAGCTCGATCTCTACCAGAAGATCTTCGAGGCACCCTTCCTCGAGGCCTCAGGTGAATTCTACAGTCAGGAGACTGTCGAACTCCTCCAGCAGTCCAACGTAACGAAATACATGGAGAGAGTTGCCTGGAGACTTGCACAGGAAGAGCTTCGCGCCCACAAGTTCTTCCACTCGACGAGTATTCCAAAGGTTCGAGCCTGCTGCGAGGAGAAAATGGTGGTTGCCCAGGTCCACTGGCTCCATTCAGAGGCAGAATCAATGATTGAGAACGAGAGAAAAAAAGATCTCGCCCTTCTGTACATGCTCCTCCGTCCCCTGCCCTCAGGCCTCTCACCACTCATCCAAAAACTCACTCAGCACATAACCCAACAGGGAATAAATGCTATTGGTCCACTTCATGGTGAAAATGTTCACATACAGTTCGTTGAGTCGATACTGGAGGTGCACGCCAAGTACTCAGATCTCATCGAGGAGATATTCAAGAAGGATCAGGCATTCATTGGTGCTCTAGACAAGGCGTGTGCTGCTATTGTCAATTACAGATCAGCGTCAAGGGCACCAGCACGTGCACCAGAGCTACTGGCAAAGTACTGCGATACTTTACTGAAAAAATCAGCTAAAGGCGTCTCAGAGACTGAGATCGATGACAAATTAGCTAAATCAATAAAAGTCTTTAAATATGTTGATGACAAGGATGTTTTTCAGAAGTTCTATGCAAGAATGCTTGCCAAGAGGCTGATACATCAGCAGAGTCAGTCGATGGATGCTGAAGAGGCAATGATTGATAGATTAAAGCAGACGTGTGGATACGAGTTCACGAATAAACTCCACAGGATGTTCACGGATATGTCTGTCTCCATGGATCTCAATGCCAAGTTTTCTACGAGTCTCAGGGATAGTGGAGAGGACAATCAGCTGGGAATTGGTTTTGTAGTTTATGTACTGCAGGCTGGGGCTTGGCCTCTCTCACTTCCACCATCACTAGGACCTTTTCATATTCCTCAGCAACTAGAGAAATCCATTGCCAGCTTTGAGAAGTTCTATCACACTCAATTCAATGGGAGAAAACTCACGTGGCTGCATCATCTCTGTCAGGGTGAACTAAAGTTTAATTATCTCAAGAAGTCGTATCTTGTCACTGTCCAGACCTATCAGATGGCACTTATGCTGCTCTTCGAGGAGTGCAGTCAGATCACCTGCAAAGAAGCTGCCCATTCTCTTAGGCTCTCTCATGATCAGCTTGTCAAGCATGCCATGAGTCTTGTCGACTGTAAAATCCTCAAGAAGGAGGACGAGAAGGAGCTCGAGGAGGATAGTCTTTTGATGCTCAATTTGGATTATTATAATAAGAGGACGAAGTTCAGGGTCACTGGGGCTCTTCAGAAGGATCAACCACATGATGCTGAGGCCACGCGCAGGAGTGTTGATGATGATAGGAAGCTTTATCTTCAGGCAGCTATCGTCAGGATCATGAAGAACAGGAAAATGTTGAAGCATAATCAGCTGGTTCAAGAGGTAGGAAGTGCTCATTTTTTGGGGGTGTTTTGTCTTTGATTTTTTTTAAAATAATTTTTGGAATATATGTGAAATGAATCTTTGCTCAATGGATAAATTCGTATTAACGGAACAGTCACTTTTCTCCTCTGAAAATCATAACTCATCTTCTGGGGCTGTCACTCAAAATATCCATTATGCAACTTCCTAATTAAAAAACTCAATCATGAACAAAAATAGACGTGTAATCAACTGATAAAATCAATGACTTATGATTTTCCTTTATCGACAGGTTCTAGAACAGTCAAAGGTGACATTCGCCCCAGCCATCGGTATGATAAAAAAATGCATTGAGGCATTGATTGATAAACAATACATCGAACGTACTCCAAACAGTGCAGATGAATACTCCTACGTGGCGTAACCCAAGAAAACCTCAACTATTCAATTTCACTGTTTGACGTATTCCCCGGTGGATTATTCAGTAGTAAAATCACAAGTCACTCGATTTCCCACATCTCAACCTCATTTTCCCCCACCAAACCATCCTTTGATCAAAATAGATTATCATTAATATAATAATTACATGATAATAAGCAAATATTCACTAAATCTGTTTCGTTGGTACAACTTCAAAAAGAAAATCTGAGACATTTGAATATCAATCAATCAGATTTTGCCACTGAATTTATCCACCATTCGATATCATTTTCGTTGTCATTATCCCATCCCTGGGGAGTACTTAACAAAAGGAAAATATTGAAAAAATGAGATAACATTTCGGGAGGAACGAATTTTCTTTGGCTTCGTGAAGGAGGTGAAGAAAAATCTATTGATATAGATATTATATTTAAAGAATGTAATATATACGTAACGAATAAAGATGAAGTTACTATTTTATTTGAATTTATTAAATTATTTTATTTGTGTATAATTTCGTCGAGTTGACGACGCGCGAAATTCGAGTGCTTTAAACAAATTTGACTGAATTAGACTAGGATCGTGGATTCTTCAGCTGGAGAAGATCAGGATCGAGTAGCGGATTGTCATCAACGTCAGGGGGTTTGTTGATGGTGTTCATGATCAATGGGGATGTGGTGGGGACTGTGGAGTAAGGAGAAAAGCCTGTCCACTCCATTCCAAGATAAATCGGTGGAGGAGAGCCCAGAGGTGCCTCTAGGAGCAAATGTTCGGCTGTCTGCTGGGGATTCTGCTGGTGACTCTGGTGTTGATGAACCTCTGGACATTCTGGTGGGGTCATGTGGGCAGCAAGTTGTCCAGGCATCTTGCACTGCTTCTCTTGCTTTCGCCATTTGGCTCGACGATTTTGAAACCACACCTGGAGTATTTACATCATCATCTCTTCAACATTATAAAATATTTTTATCATAAGATTTTATCCACTCACTTGCACTCTCGCCTCAGTGAGCTGAATCCTCAGTGCCAGCTCCTCCCTGAAGAACACGTCAGGATAATGTGTTTTCTGAAAAGCCCTTTCCAGCTCCTCCAATTGAAAATTCGTAAAAGTTGTTCTATATCTTCTCTGTTTACGTTTTCCTACGGATGTCTGTCTCTCATCACTCCTAGGACTCGTCGAAAAATCATAAGCTGCAGCCAAAATAATAAAAACAAACTAAAATCTCCATTTCCACCTGCTTTCAAAAAATAAAAACCTAAATAAACAAATATTGAAAGCCATTTCCCCCCGCGTTAAGCTAGCTTAATGCATTTAGGAATAATTTAATTGAGTCTCAAATTACGTTAGACTCCCTAGACTCGTTAATTAGATAAAAACAGCATGAAAATCTTGCACTCACTGAATTTAGTTGGAAAGCATACGGACGATGATTGTCCTGACATCAGACCAGCCAGTGCAGTCGACTGGAGATCACCACTGGAATTTATCTCGTCTGTTCCATCAACAATAGCCCCAGTGGATACCAGAGGATCACGGGGTGCTCCAACCAGATACAACTGTCGATTATCAGCATTCGTCTCCTCTTCCTCCTTCAAGTCCATTGTGACGAAGAAGTCCTCGCCCAGAGTGTCGTGAGACTCCGTTTTCGTGAATTTATCCCGGGAATCCCCGGTCAATTGCAACAATTTTTTTAAATCACAGTACTCCCTTCACTTCACTGCTAATTACAAATTTAATCATGCATTTTTCCATTTTCCAAAAACATTTTTTCACTGGAATTGTTATTGAAATTATCATTGAAATTATATTGAAATTATTATTGTAGTCCGCTTCCCCGCTATTTTATCACATTTCTTTTAGATTTTTCGCGGTTTTCTGGTGGTTGTTAGTTAATTAATTATTGAGGGGGAATTTGTTTAGATTAAGGAGCTCGTGGAATTTTCAAATTTGTTTGGGATAGTAGTAATGAAGGTAAAACTATTTACCTCGTCGACAATGTGCGACCAGTGGTAATTGAATCACCAGTGTCTCGTCCACGGTTTTCTTCACTATCTCTATCTATACTTTTGATTTTTGCCCTCGTCTCTTTTTTTTTCTCCTTTTCTAACACGTTTTACCTGCGTTTGGAGGTGCTTCACCGGTGAGGAACCCCACAAGGGCTGATGCTGAAGACTTATAAATGAGTTTCAACCCTGAATCGATAGTTTTTCAACAGGGGTTCCGATGAAAATAGTGATATTTTTTCTGTTTGAGTGATTGTGCAACGAAACAACAAACGCATTTAGTATTTTTATATAAAACGATTTACAATTTACAGTACGAGAAATGACAGAAACCTTCTCCAGACAGAAAGGATCAAATAAAAAGTCCAATTGTCGTGGAATGATTTATTTGTGAAATATTCTTGAAACAGTGCTGAGACTAGGGTTCTCGTTAAAAATACATTAAATCTGGAAAATTAAACGTAGAATAATCTAACTCGACTCGTTGACACCAAGAGATCATCGTCGAAGAATTTCGTCTCGATGACGACATTTCCACTGAATTAAAAAAAAACATATCGTGATTTTTGGGGGTGAATTTTTTAATACGAGAATTTAGGGAGTTTAACTCACTTTAAGACATTTGCAGGCATCATTTGACTCTCTGGTGCTGCTTGGATGAGACTTTGCCATGTGTTTGTGCTATTGGGGATGACGAAGCCAAATTCGAAGAACCATTCCTCCAGGCATCGTCCCTTGAATAAGACTTTTTGCTCTATTCTGAATGTCTCCAGGGGCTCCGCAGAAGTAAAGTTTATTTCTCGTGACACCTCACGACATCGGAGAATTTTCTTTGGTACTCTAGCTTCATGCTCGACATCTGGAATTGATCTACAACATTTCAAATTATTTCCACAATTTTATTTCACCGGAAAACACTTGCATAATTATTAAAATTACAAAATTAATCCCTTCGAAAAATATGGAATATCATCCATCTATTGGGTTACTAAATTTAATATAATGTCCACCATTTTCTGTTGACAGATGAAATGTGCATTAATTTCTAAGGCCAAGGATTTAACGGGTTTTTTAATTAACCATTAGGATTTGATCGGAAATGTTGCAATTTCCATGATTTTAAAAAGATGTCTTACATTTTCCTGAATCCATTTGTCCCCAAGACATTTAAAGTCGAGCAAAAATCGATTGTTCCTCATTAAAATTCAACCTGATAATCAATTCATCTAATCGCCTCATTAATTACCAGTCCAAGGTCAAACGTCAACAAATTTGGGCTGGAAATTCTCCTGATCTCGATAAATGTCTTGAAATTATTATTTAATTGTTATGACGTTACAGATAATCAATAATCAAAAAATCGTATGAATATAAAAGTAAGAGATCAGATCACTGAGGAATGAAAATTGAGGGTTATAATACTCACAGATCTTCATTTCCTTGCCAGAGAATTTTACCATTGTCAGCATCTCGCAAATTCATCCAATTACTGGATAAAATCATTACATAAATCAAGGAAAACATTAAATTACTCGACATAGTGTGTGTCAATCTAGATAAACGTGTGCAGGAAATTCTGAGTGGAATTGATTATTCTGCGTCGAAGGGCAGAGATTTAGGATTAATTTTGTAAAAAGGATACACTTGGAAGCCTTTGAGGATGTCATCACTTCGTGAAGGCATTTTTCACAACCCCAGGAATCACTTTATTTCAACAATTTTGTGGACTTCTCCATAGAACTCGTGAAACACAAACAAATGACTGACAGCGCCATTTTGCAAGTACTAAAATTCACTGGACTACCCCGGGAAATTTGAATTGCATTATTATTATTCGTGAATTTTGTGATGAATCTTTCGTCTCTTTTCCATTTATTTTAGGGTGTAAAAAATTATTAATTGGATAATTAGGCCATACAATCGTTACTTTTTATTTCATTCAATATCGACAATTATAAATTATACAAAATTATATATTTATTTATATTTTAGCCATTAGTTTCCTCTAGCTATTCTCGTGTCCTCCATATTCTTCAGTTTATCTTCATTTATTCGGTCTCGTTAGTTTATTTACTTTAATCGTTAATTAACTAAATCTGAAGAGTTTTTGAAAAAAAATTGCAATAAACGAAATTTGGAAAAACATAAATAATTGAATTGATGCGTCAAAAATTGTTGCTCCACTTGGAAAATTGATATATTTATAACTATATATTTATATTTCAAAATAATTTTTTTGGCAATTCTCAAAATTTAAAGCCGAAAATTCAACGAGTCAACGGTTGAATAATTACGTGATGAATTGAATGAAAGAGATAACCGGATTTTTTTTTTCTCATTTTGAAAGATGATTTGCTTGTAAACAATAAATAATCAAATGGATTAACAAATAAATCAGTTAAAATAGTGGGATAAATAATAAAACAATACAAAAGTAACTTGAATTCTCAATCGTTCTTTAATATTGAAAAACGTATTTTTTAAACATAAAAAAGCATTGTCTCTCCTCACATCGCATACAAATTAATTATTTATACAATTAACAAAAATCTACAAATATACAGATATCGGGATTCGACAATTAACGAAACGATCACTCTCCAACTTTTTACCTGACAATTCTGAAATGATCTCGGTAACGAGCAGTAAAACCACTCCTTACCGAGAAAAATTGGAAAAATAATTGATAATTGTTTGTAAAGTGATTAATGTTGTCCTTAAAAATCACAAAATTATCTCAATTATCTCGATAATGAGTGGCTCTGCAGAAAAAATATTGTTCAACCAAAATATGTAAAAACTAAAAAAAATACAATTTCCTCTCTTTCCTGTTGTGATTAATTAATGAAATTGTCCTACGTCTGTGATTAATCATTTTTCTATTGCATGCAACACAATTTATTCAATTTTTTTATCACCATCGATCGAATTGACATCAAATACTCGTTCCAAAGTTTAATTCTATGTAAATAATCGACAGAATGTTCCATTGATTGAAAAAATTTGTCAAAAATTCATTTATCTAAGAGTAATTTCACATTTTTCATACGTATAAAAGGATTTAAAATTTGTTTTAAGCTCGATTAATTAATTCGTAGTCATCGTTCATTATTTTTGGATGTTAATTGAGTCGAAATCGATCTATGGTTGGGATATGCAGTTCTAGCTACTGGACACACTTTCCTTTATATTTTTCTTTGTAATATTATTTTTTCTCGTTTACGATAAATTCAACTATTTCACGACGAATCCCGATTACATGGTTACAATTATATATAGCTAGTACGTTTGTGCGTGTAACTGTAGGTAAATCATTTCTTCATGTGTTTTATTTTACTGGTGATGATTTTAAAATTCTGCTATCAAGTGGAATGAAGAGATGAAATTGTGAGAAATTCTCGCACTCGATTGATATCTCTTATCAATTGATCAATTGTCAATGTCTCGTCGGTTTATTAATAATAATAAAAAATCAACTCTGCATTCCACCGATGGAACCAAAGTAAATAGAAATAATACAATTTTTAAAAACTTTACAAACGTCAACATTTATCATATCTCCAATCATTTGAGCCCAATTAACGTTACAACGTTCATTAAAACATTTTTCATCGATTTGAATAATTAAAATCAGCTTTAATACATGAAAAATACAATTGCGAACAATATAGCAATTATTTCACAACTATTTTTCCCCAACGAATCCCTCGCATTTAAAAAAAACTGTTGAATTTTTATAAATTTGTTTTTCTCCACTCAAAATTTCCAATTGCACTGAATAAACCAAAAATACTCGAAATACCATTGACACCTTATCTTAACACTTTGTAAAATTAATTTGTACAAAAGAAAGAGAATCTAGTGATCATAATTACGAAATGCCCCTGTCTCACGCTTAGTTATTAAAAATAATGAAAAAGAAGAAATATTAATTAATCCTTAATAATCTCGAGGTCCCAAGCTGGTCTATTCACATCATCAAAAATTATTTCTGTTCATTTTTCGTTAATTTAAATCCCTGGAAAACCAAAAATCTCTAAAAAATCATGTGAAAATTCGGTAATAAAACGATCAATTTTTCGCATACAATTGAATATCGAATTATCTCAATGTATCAATTATCTCAATTTTTATCGATTTGGGACCAAAATACTTTTCATCACTTATAAACCCAAGTGAAAATACATAATTATGTTTAATAATTCCACCACATCCGTCGGTACTGCCCTCTTCCCCGAAATCAATTAAAAATCCAATTGATTCTACCCACAAATTTGGCAGTGTTGTCATGTTTATCATTTTAATACAAAAAATAAACCCGGCGTGGTTTTGCACAGCAGATGAACGAGAAACTATCACATTTCCCGTCATATTTTTGTAGTAGTGAAACCCTTTTTCTCACAGCCTGCCTTTCGTAGATCATCCTTCAAAAAATCCTTTCAAAATTCCAGGATAGAGCAGTAACAGAGAACTCTCTTCTCCCTCAATTTTCCATAGAAAAACACTAATAAAAAAATATTTTTCTCTAACAAGTCCTGTCACAATAAATCGTTAATAAATTTGCAATTCTCCAGCCAAAAATATCAATTGTACCATCTCATGCATTCATTTAATTAATTTGAACCTAAAAATCCATCAACAATTTACACAATAATTGAAACTACTAAGAGATTTCATTTTTCAATTCAATAATTTCGTAAACATAATGATAAATTAGGGGAAACTAAAAAATTCGTGAATTCAAGAGTTTTCCCTAGATCAGAATAAATCCCACGAAGTAAAGGAGAGAGAAAACTATTGTAACAAGACTTGACGGAGGAAAAAATATAATTTCCTCAGTGTAAATACAGAATCGTAGTGAATCCCCAATTACCCCTCTGATCCACCTGAATCGGCTGTCTTCACTGATTTCCATCAACTCCAATGAACAATGGTCCCAGCACCTCATCATCCTGGAACCCCCCCTCAAAATTCTCGAGTGGATCGAGTCCCTCCTCAGGACCCTCGCCATCTAGAAAATTCGATTCCAAGAGATCACTAACAGCTCTGCCACTGGTACCACCCTCGCCCCTAAGATTCAACGAATTCAAAGTGGGACTCGACAACATGGGCTCATTGCTCTCCTGATAGACCTGTGGTGTACTGGGAAATGATCTAGATCCACTGCTGTCATCAAACGTCCCAGCATAACTAACACCCCCACCAGCAACTCCAGCAGTGACATCAACAAGACTTTGACTGGCCCCAGGAAGTGGTGTATTCGTGTAACTCCTCGTGTGAATTCCCCTCTGCATCTCCTCCACTTGATTCTGCTCCAGCCCAGGCTCCAGAATACCTGGAGGCAGCGCCAGTGCTTCTGCCTGGCCCTCAAGAATGATTCCTGATCCTGGAATGATCTCGTCTGGTCCATTATCGATTATGTTGAGACCTTTCCCAGTGTCCTCATCCAAAAAATTAAGAATTTTAGTTATATTCTCGCTGGATATCTCCTTGTCCTCCATGAGAAAGCCCTGATCCTCTCCCATAAGATTGGCACCTACTTCATCCAGTAAACAGCTTGGCTCAAAATCATTGTATTCACTTGGAACTGGAGTCTGTGCCACTGACGAACAGCTGGACGTTTGAAATTGATAGAGTCCCTGATAGGGAGTAGACGTCGACGATATAGGTGACATCAGGGTTGGATTTACCATTCTGTGTAGTGGTACTGACTGCGATCTTGAGAAATTATCACCAAAAGTTCCTTTAACTCCATTGAAGTATTCACTTATCTCCTGATCATCCGGTTTTGGCCTCTTGTGGATATTTTTTATCTCTTGGAGATTCTCCTGACTAGGGTAATTTATCATCAATTGCTTCTGGGGAGTTAAATCACTCGAAAGAAACGTCGAACACAGGGTTTTACCACCTCCAACCTGAACTTCTGCTGATGATTTACCAGGGATTGAGCAAATCCCTGAAATGCCGGATATTCCAGACATTCCAGAAATTCCTGATAATCCAGATGTTCCAGATGTTCCAGAGGTTGGAACGACGAATGTTGTGTCATCATTTCTGGATGAATAACTTGCAGAACAGCTGGCAGATCTGTTGAATGTCTTTTGGGGGATGGGGCCATTGCTGGAGGAACGAGAGGATCGACAGGGTGCCATTGTACTCCTGGAGCGAGGCACTGGAGTGTTTCTTGGTGATACAAATGGCGAAGCATTTGCTGAATTTGGTTTCGACGCTGCACGGCCATTAGGTGTGATGTTTATGGGCGAATGAGGTCCTGGAGATATTGGTGTGAAGTTGAAGATTCTTCGTCTGGTATTTGGAGACTGGGGAACAGTTGGCAATGTCACAGCTGGTGAATGTTCAATTACTGTTGTCTCGAAGCTAACACGTCTCCGAGAGTTGTTCGTCTGGTTCAGCAACGAGGGCAAGATCATTTTCTCCTCTTTCTGGACTTCCAGTCTCTGTTCCAGAATTTTTTGGGGATTCTGGGGACCTGGGGCCTCTCTGGGGTCATTTGAGGGACCTGGAATTGTCGAGTTCTTGAGATTCTGCTGGAGAATCAGTCGCAGTTGCGACACTTTGTCCGATCGCGAGGGCATCGGTATCTCTGGAATTGGAATATCGTCAGAACTCGAGGAGCTTGACTGCTGAAAATACTGGAGAAGCTCCTCCTCCTGCTCTTGGGAGTTGTTGCCACCGTTCAAGTAGTCGTCGAGAGCCCCTGGATCAATTGCACACAGCTTTGAGCTCTCCAGGAGGGATATCTCGTCCTTTATGAGGACCTCTGGAGTCTCTCCAGGGGGGACTTTTCCGTTGGTCTTCCTGGATGTCTGGAGGGGCTTCAAGCTATCAACGTCGATCTTCTGGAGCTTCGATTTGAGAATGTTTGGGGCTACCACAGAGATTTTTCCAGGGGCTCTGGGATTCTTCGAGTTCTGAATAATTTTTTCGTCGGCTTTTGGTGATTTATCGGTTTTCTGGAGTTTTTCGGGACTTGTGTCTGGGTTTAGTTGATTGTCGTCGAGGCTTGGACGTTTTCGGGAATTTTTTTGAGGCTTCTGATGGCCAGAATCTGGGGGAAAGGCGCCGTTCAGTGACTGATCGTCGTTGTTAATTGAAGATTTATTATCACAGTTCAATTGTAGTGAGACCGACTGCTGATTTGATGATCTCGGCAGTTTTCTAGACCGATTTGAGGTAGATGGAGGCTGTGGGGGTTGAGTGGATTTCGGAGTTGTTGATATTAAAGGGGATATTGGGGATTTTTGCTTTTTGGATTTTTGGATATTTGGGGGTGGCTTTGTTGTACCTTGGTCAATTTTTTCCGTTTTACCCTGGTGTTTTTGATCACGAGTTTGCTCGCGCTGCTGGAGTTTCTTCACTAGTTGGAGCTGGGCCTCACGAAGTTTTGCTGGTTTTCCAGCTACTGGAGTTACGGATAGGCTCGGCGGTGTCTCTGGAACTGAAGAAATAATTATTAATGAAATTATTTATCCGAATAGCTACACATCTGCTAGTGATAATTGATTCCACAAGATTCCGACAAGATTCCGTTTTTTTTTATCAGTCGTTATCAGAAATATGGATATGGCAATTCGTAGGATTTACCTTTTGGTGTCGAGGGGAGAGCGTCACCTGTGGCACTTAGAATACAGACAGCTGCCAGTGACTGGGTGTCAACGCAGATGTTCTCGACGAGGTGTCGTGCCAGGGCAGCTAGATTTGGAAATTTCAGGCCGAGAACCCCTTCCGCCCATTCTCGAATTAAAGTCGATGCTGCTCCCAGCATTTCCTCGGTTATTGTATCATCGAACTCTTCGACTTCCTGGAGAGAATTCACGGGGGATTGAAATTTATTCTTTACAGTTTTGAAAATAAACAAAAAACGTTCAAGTATTTGTTTGTTGCAATTGCACGGATGATATTCGTGGAATGTAAATAATCACCTGGATTTCCTTGACACTGGGTAACGCCGGTACAGCTAGTTTGACTCTCTTCCTCATCCCGGCGTAACAATACCTCGACTGTCCCCTGACCCCGAGTCTTCTGGGCCTCACCCTGGGATAAACCTGTTTCATAACTTTCCCAAAATCCGCAGTACTCAGTGGTTTCATGGAGTTTATCTGGCAGAACGTATTGTACTCATCATAAACCTCTTGCTTGGGTAACGAGACATCAGGATCCTCTTCGAGATGGGTTTTAATCCACATTATAGTCTGATGTATCTCATACCGATTCCCAAGAGGATTGAGGGGCTGTCTCAGAGGATCTATCGTGCCAGAGCCACTGGTGAGACACGAGGGCATCCTCAGGTACAGCAACAGTTTCTCCTCAATTCTCAGCTGCTCCACCCTGAGGAAGACCTCCTGGACCTTCGTCTTGGACTCAGCTCCAATGGCTTCTTCAATGATCATTCGAATTTTCTCCTGTTTCCCATTATTGGAATTATTGCCTCCACTGAATTTCGTGGTGATCAGATCGTGGAGTATATCAGACCCGTGAAATCCATTAGCCACCCTCTGGTGGGTGTCACCAGGTGCATCCTGAACGCCCGATATAACGATTCGGTTACCGTTCTCGTGGGCATCATTCCTCTCTTTCTTTATTCTTCTTGTCTCGAAGGTGCAAACCTCGTCCTTGTGACCCTTGCTCATCTTCAGGGACACACCTGTCCCCCTCAGGTCAATCCCTCACCCCTCCAGGGTAGAAAATCAATTTTTTTTTCAGCCTCTTTTCGGGGAAAAATGGAGGTTTTTTCCAGGGACTTTGGATTAGGTCCTGGTAGGGGTGACATGGGAAGTTGAAAGGGCCTTGGGTTCACACATTGTCAGCTGGTGAACTGGTGAACTACTTGTTGGCATCTCCTGGATTTAGCACTCTCCCGGTTTTTGTTTGATGGACACTCGGGGGGTTAAGGTGTGGGGGCCTTGGGTTTTTTTTCTACGGGGAAATGGCGGTTTTTTTTAAGCACTTGGGGCCACTCCGGGGACTTTTCACCACTGGGGGTGTGGGGTCAATCAGAATTACGGGTTTGTGGGCCTTTTTGCCGTTTTTTTCGGTTTTAATTGTTGAAGCAACTCGGGAAGATGCTCCATTTGTGAGTTCTCTGGGGCTTGGGGATTTTTCGGATGGCGGCGCTCGTGCACGACAGCTGGTGGGGGGACTAGGGAATTTTCTTGGAGATGGGGATTGAGGTAATATTTGAATGGGATATCGATATCGTTTTTGCTCTGTTGCCGGCTGGTGGACAAGCAGTCGATTACTCAGAACTGTGTGGATTTCATCAGAAATTTGAGTCCTGTGGAATTTTCGGGATAATGATGGAAATCAGCTGTTTCGAGGGCTGACGGTACTTCAAGGACGTAATTAATTGGGAAGAAGTGTCAGTGGATATTAGGAGTTGTTGAATCATCAATTGTAAACGTGAGTTTATATTTATGGAATATTTTTCGAGGTTAGCTTGTTGATACTTCAACACGAGGGCAGTTTCAAAAGGGGGAGCTTCAAAAACCTAAAAAATTATGAAAGTAATTATCATAATTTTTTTATGAATTTACAAAATCATAAAACTAAAAAAACCGGATACATTTCCCAACTCAAACTCATCCCCAACTTCTCGAGCTCACAAAAAAAGAAAGAAAATTTTGAAATTTCCAGAAAAATGTCTCACCGTTTCTCATTGGCCCGTCGTGCCCTCGCCCCTTTTTCCCGCGCATTCGGGAGTTCCCCTGTCACCCTAGCCTACAAACCAGGAGACGAAATTTCAAACTTTAAAGTAACCGAAGTATCAAAAGTCCCAGAGATGCACGTAGAGGCAATCCGTCTGACTCACACCCCCTCAGGTGCCCAGTACCTGCACCTGAATCGCGACGACCTGAACAACGTCTTCTGCATCGGCTTCAGGACGATTCCCCTGGACTCGACAGGTGTCCCCCACATTCTGGAGCACATGACACTCTGCGGAAGCGATAAATACCCGATTAGAGATCCGTTCATGAAAATGCTTCACCGATCTCTCGCGACATTCCTCAACGCAATGACCGGACCTGACTACACCATCTACCCATTCTCAACCCAAAATCCAAAAGACTTCCGCAATCTCCAATCGGTCTACGCCTCCTCGGTATTTTCCCCGCGTTTGCGGCACTTGGATTTCCTCCAGGAAGGCTGGAGACTCGAGCACTCAGACTTGAGTTCAAACTCATCTCCGATAATCATCAAAGGAGTGGTATACAACGAGATGAAAGGGGTATTCAATGAGAATCAGACAATCTTCGCGGAGAAACTGTTGAATTCGCTCCTTCCGAGTCACACGTACGGCGTCTGCTCCGGAGGACTTCCCCTGGAGATTCCAAACCTGACGCACGATTTCTTGAAAGACTTTCACTCGAAGTACTATCACCCCTCGAGCTCCAAGATCTTTTCCTACGGGAATTTTCCGTTTGAGGAGCACTTGAAGTTCATGGATGAGAACTATTTGTGTGCCCGAGGGAAGATTGACACCTCCAGGTCAATGGTCCCCACGGAGAAGCGGTGGGAGGCACTCAGGCGAGAACATATCGCTTGCAAGATCGATCCGATGGCTCCGGACGCCTCCAAACAGAGCTCAATAGCTATTGGACATGTTTGCAATGACATCAAGGACATTCAGACATCCTTGGAGCTCCACATTCTGTCGGAGCTACTGCTGAAGGGCCCCACGAGCGCCTTCTACAAGGGCCTCATCGAGACAAATCTTGGAAGTGGATTTGGCCCGTTCACAGGGTACGACTCACAATGTCGAGACGCTCTCTTTGTCGTGTCCCTCCAAGGGGTGGACCCCCAGGACTTCCAGAAGATTGAGAAAGCCTTTGACAAAATCCTCGAGGGGGTGATCTCTGAAGGATTCGATAAGGACCACGTGGAGGCTGTTATTCACTCAATCGAGTTGAGGAACAAGCATCAGTCGTCAAACTTTGGGATGAATCTGCTCTTCAGCGTATTTCCGTTGTGGAATCACGAGGGGGATATCGTCGAGAGCCTGAGAATCAACAAGTCCCTGAAAAAATTCAAAGACAAGCTTCAACAGGACCCGAAATACCTGACGAATCTAGCGGAGAAGTATCTTCTGAAGAACAATCACAGATTGATTCTCACTATGAGCCCTGAAGAGGACTACGACCAGAGGATAGCCGAGGCTGAGGAGAATCTCATTAAACGGAAGATTGAGGAGCAGACACCTGAGGAACTCGACAAGATCTTCGAGACTGGACAGGTACTCCGGGAGGATCAGGAAAAGAAAGAGGATTTGAATATATTGCCAACATTGAAGACCGAAGACCTCAAGGCGGACGTCGATCGTTACAAGTTGAGCGATGTCGCTGTCTCTGGGATTCCCCTCCAAGTGTCGATTCAACCGACCAATGGTGTCCTCTATTACAGAGGAATCCTCGATACGAAAGATTTGTCATCAGAGCTCAAGGAATTGCTGCCGTTATTCAACGACGTCGTAGCTCGAATGGGAACGCAGGTCCATGACTACAGGACCTTCGATCGTCTCTGCTCGTTGAAGTCTGGGGGCTTGGGCTTCTCCACGCACATCAGCGAGGACAAGAGCAAGCTGAACAAATTCAGCGAGGGAATTATGATGTCTTCTTACTGCTTGATGAGAAACACGTCGGACATGTGGAAACTCTGGGAGGAGCTCTTCAACAAAGGAACGCTTGACGATATCAAACGTTTTGAGAATCTCGTCAAGAACTCAGCGGTGGATCTATCATGTGGAATTGCGGACTCTGGGCATCACTACGCTATGAGCTCAGCTGCCGCTCTCGTGTCCTCCTCTGCGGAGCTCAAGGAGAAACTAGCGGGTCTCGAATTCGTGTCGAGGATGAAGAAGCTGTCACAGCTGAAGGATTTGTCGCCTGTTCTCGAGAAAATCCAAGAGATCAGACATGTCGTTATGGACAAGCGACGACTTAGGTCGGCTGTCAATTATTCCGAAGATCCCGATTGTCCGGATGTTGTTGGTAGTCTTCAGAGGAACTTCTATGACTCGCTGAAGAGTTCTGAACTGTCCAAACAGATTCAAAACTGTAGTGATGCTGATTTGACCGGACAGGTGTCCGGGGTACATCACGTTATGCCTTACAACACGAATTACACCTCGAAGGCAGTTCTGACAGTGCCTTATGGACATCCTGATTATCCAGCCTTGAGGATTCTCGGAAAACTCATTTCCTCGGTTTACCTTCTACCGGAGGTCAGAGAGAAGGAAGGGGCTTATGGATCTGGTGCCTCGCTGTCAACGGAAGGTGTCTTCATGTTCTTCTCATATAGAGATCCCAACAGCACCAAGACTTTTGACACTTTTGACAGGACCTGTGATTTCTTGAAGACTTTTGACTTCAAGGACAATTATCTGAACGAGGCCAAGCTGGGGGTCTTCCAGCAAATCGATGCACCTGTTGCTCCTGGAAACAGGGGACTTCTCAGATTTACTCATGGCATCACCGAGGATGATGTTCAGAGGCAGAGGATTCTTCTTAAAGCGGTGACTAAGGACGACGTCGTTAAGGTCGCGGAGAAGTACCTCGGCGAGGGCAAGGAAACGGCTAGGGTCGGCAGAGCTATTATTGGAGGGATCAATAAGGAGCTGATGGAGAGGAGGAGCCAGAACTGGAGGGTCGTCGATCAGGAGGAAGAGGAGCAGAAGCTGCAAGCCGCTGTGTGATGAGATGATTATGATTGATGTAAATAAAGAGGAAAATTGAATTGAAAGACTTTTGGGAAGAACGCGGGTAATTTATTAGTGAAGGTCATTATATTTATTTATAAATTATGTGATTCCCCTAGTTGACCAACTGTTCGATTAAAACTTCTGATTGGCTGGTTAACCTTGATTGATTGATTAACCTCACATTCAGGTCAGAATTGGAGCTCATAGCCCTGAAGATGCAGATCATCAACGCGGTATTCATTCAGAAGCCAAATATGATAATAATTAGAGTCATGAAGGCATCAAGACTATACTGTCGAAATTTTTTTGAAATTTCAAAAAGGAATTTGTAATTTTATGAGATTGAATTCAATTTGAATTAAAAATGGATTTTTCATGTTAAATGTTGATAAATTTTTCATTGAAAGCTTGAATTTCCAATAGTTTGACCATTCCGGGGGATTATTGCTTGAATTCTCCGTGCCACATTGACCCGAAAATGAAGAATTACCACTAGAATATTTAAGGGATTAAATGATTCGTCAATAAAGAATTTTTATTTCAAATCTTATTATTTGAAATTTCAAGTATAAATTTCCAATAGTGTAATATAACTCTTCTGCGATCATTTGAGGGGAAGAAGAGAAACTGAGGGGAATTCCGGGATGAGTTTGGAGACGGGGATTTCCCTGAGTTCCTGAGAAAAATTCTTCCAATTGTTTTTCCTCTGTTAGATGAGTGAATTTGGGGAGGTCCTGGAGCTGCTGCTGGCACATCGATGGTTGTTCCAGTCTCCTGTCACCAAAATTCTGGTAGATCAAGTGTTGGATAAATTTCCAGAGGGTTGGGCTGACGCGTTGGAGTCGTTGACGATTGAGGAGCTCAATGCAATGGTGATTGGTGGGTTAGTCAGGGAAGATTGGCCTTCTAGTCTTGTTCAATTTGTGAGGAAGTGTGAGGAGATCAGGAAAGAACTCTCGAAAGACTCCTTTGCTCTTGATGCTGGGGTGGACAGGATGGAAAAGATTCCGAAGGAATTGATACGAGGGCTGAGTGAGAAGAAGCAACACGAGGCACTTCTCCTAGGTCAGCTGACCCACGAAATATCTGAAGAGGAGGGACTAGAGCTCATCGTAGACCTGGGGGCTGGATTGGTAAGTCTTCATATTTAATTCATTAGATATTTTTCTGTAAGGGGAATTCCTCAGGGCTACGTGTGTCAACTCCTTCATCATCTCTTCAACTACAAAGTCCTAGGACTGGAGTCCAACCCCAGGATTGTGGCCACCGCAAATAATCGTAGGAATACCCTCTACCCTCTCTCCAGGTCCTCAGTGAATTATTCCTGTCTGAGGGTCTCTGAGGACTCTTCGGGGGAAATAGAAAAGCTCGTGGAAGACTTTACAGGTGATGAGAACACAAATTTCTGCCTCATTGGTCTGCACTCGTGTGGAGACCTGAGTAATAATGCCCTCAGACTCTTCAAGGAGATGAATAGGGCGAGGGTCCTCGTCATGATGTCCTGCTGCTACCACAAGATCGAGTGGCTGGAGGACGAAACGAGATTTAAAAATTTTCCCATGTCCCGGGGACTGCAACAGGAATTGGAAAGACTTGAGAATTTTCAGGGGGTGCGAGAAGTCCTTGGACGCCCTTTCATGAGACTCGCCTGTCAGGAACCCTCGGAGAAGTGGCAGGACATGACACCAGAGGATCATGGCGTGCATTCCATCTGTGTTATTGCCAGAGGAGTTTTGGAATTGTTCTGTCATAGAAGTAAGAATTTTTCACATTGCAAGATGCAAATGGATTTTAAATTTTATCTTGAAAAATAATACAATTACAATTAATTACTTTATTAATAAATTGTCTTTTACAATTAATCCTTCAGACAATATTAAACTGACAAAAATGAGGAGGAAATCAGCTAGACAATCCCAGTGCCAGAATTTCGAGGCATATCTCCGGAATTTCGTTCTGCGTTATAATTTCGATGGACAACCACTTGATGAAAAATATTACGAAGAAATTACTCAACTCTGGGAAGAGAACAAATCGAAATTACGATTGGCTGAAATTTACACAGGACTTCAGCTGCTTCTCCAGGCGTCTGCTGAATATCTGGTACTGAATGACAGAAGATTTTGGCTGAAGGAACAGGGATTTTCCAACACGAGAATTCTATCAGTCTTAGATAGGAAATTATCTCCCAGGTCTCACGCAATTATTTCTTCAAAAACCAACCCACAATTCTCTGAATGTCTACATTAATAATTCAGAGCTTTGGAGAAGTTTTATCTTCCATAGGGATGAATCTGTGATGCTGCCTTGATGTTCGTTTTTATGGCGCTCGGGGCTTTTCCCATTTGTCCCACTAAAAATAAAAAAATATAAATGAATATCAGTCACGACTAGTGACGAAGAACTTGTGATAATCAATAAAGAAAAAAACTTTTCTACTTTCAACAGTAAATGTCATATTTTTCTTTAATTTATCCTTTACTAGATGGATAATAATGAAATTATTGTAGAATGTGGAAAAATTATCAGATTATAATTCATCTTCTATATTTTTCTGTCTTACTCTGAGGATTTCCCATTGGTCCCTGTCCTCCAGCTCCAGGTTGACTGCCAGGACGTCCCACAATCATCCCCGAGGGGACATTATTCACTCCAGACTGCACCATTTGCACAGAATCAGACTAAAAATGAAATAATCGATGAATAAAATCCAGACAAATCAGGTTTTCAGGTAGGAAAATTATTTGAAGATTTACTTTGAGTCCTTTTCCCATTCCAACAGCAGCAACGAGGATATTTGTATCAGCAGGGCTGCTGGTTTGGGCCTGAGCTGTCCTGGCTCCAGCCTCACTTTCCCATTCCTCTCTCGCTTTATTCGCGATATCCCAAACATGATTTATCACTTTGTTATACTGTGCCACTTGTTTCTGAAATAATGCAAATCGTTATAGAAGAATTGTTCATAATAGATTCAAGGCGTTTGCTTACGTTGCAGTCCTGAGGTGTATTGCATTGCAAAAGAGAAATCTCATAGATTATGGAATCATTTACAGAATCATTATCTTGATGTTAATGAATGCTTAAGGGAGAGGTTTTCTCTTTTTTCTCTTTCATGGAAAATTTTTCCAACTGTTTTATCTGATATTTCTTGTTTGTTTTGAGGGAAATTCTTACGTGTGATGCGTCGTAGCTCAAATTGGCAGCTTTCACCTCGAGTTGCATCATCTTTTGCTCAGCCTGGGGCTCTGGCTTTGTCCTCAGGTAATCAGGCACTAAATCATGAGCAAAAGTGGAAATTCTTCCCTCTGTCATTCTCATCAGTTCCTCATCCTTTTCAGGGCTCAGGAGGAGAGGAAGAACTGTCAAATTCCGAAGGTTCGGGGCTTTGTCGTGAGCCAGAATTTTCGACAGGCTCGTTAACTGCAAATAAGAGAGTAATTAACTCATAAATTCTATTTTATTAATGTCAAATTATATTTTGTGGAGAATATAGACTTACATGACCCGCGATGAGAGCAAAATTGTCCAGAAAACTCGGCCAATTGAGGGTCTCGTACTCGTGTTCCAATTTGAATATCATCGAGGCAATTGCTGTTTTCAAATCATTCACTCGCATGATTATCGCCTCGAGGGCAGCGTCCAGCTGTTTCTCCTCCCTCTGCATGATTACTAAATTCTAATCTTCTAATAAATATTTTTTATCAGAGCCTCCCTCAAACGTCAACCAATATTTTAGGTTATAAATCTTTCAAACGACGCAGGGCGGATTTTCAAGTCGACGACGCGCGCAGGGCGCGCTAATTCAAATTCATTATTGACATCAACTTTTTTAGTCATTAGAACGAATTATTGAACTTTATTGACCATATAACCGAATGAAATGTAAAAAGACAACTAAAAGTCGGAAACTGCTAAATAAGATCGGTGGATTTTTTCACTATCAGTTTTCAGTTGATATCTCGAAATTAGAGGGGAATATCGATATTTTTGTAAGCACCTTTTTCGTAGAGAATTTTGAGAGCTACAAAAAAGGTTATTATCAAAATATCAGTAAGTTTGTTCGATACTGAGATATCCCCCGGAAATCGGTATTGAAAAAAAATCAATTATAGTAGTTCACCTTTAGGAGATAATATTTTTGATTTTTGCGAGTTAAGTTACCGTTGAAAATGAATTTGGGGTCATAGCGAGAATTATAGGAACAAACTTGAAGAGAATAGGAATGGTCTAGCATTGTTCAATCACGTTCTAGCATTCACCGATCTCATCAGTTATTCCTGGCGCGATTTTCCACGGCATTCCCTCGTATCTCGCCCATGTGAGAAAACAAAATGAGAAAATAAATGATTAAAAAAAATGAGAGTGGCGCGAATTACAATTGTCGCTTGAATATTAATCAAACGGAGCTCTCCCGAAGGCACGGCCGAGACGATTTTAAATGCATTAGCATGGCGCCGATATTCGATCGAGAGAAAATCTCTTTTGAATTTTTCTCCACTGGAAAAATAATAGTTTTTCATTTTTTCGGCTTGATGTGCCATTAATATTCAGCCGACGATCTTCTGAGGATGCGCCATTCACGGAAATGGTATAAACCTTTCCATCACTTCGAGATTATAAAAGAGGGAAGGGCTCTTATTCCTTGTAATATACGTGAATGTCTTATTGATTTCATCATTTGATTTCCGCAATATTCCAATGACGAGAGACATTATAATCATTATGGAATTACTGAGGGAACAGCTATTGAATTATGAGGATAGAAATTAACAAATACTCTGAGTATTTTAAACACTGAGAATTATTATTAAAACCATCTGACTCTACACTGAGAGAAATATTCAATAAAAATTACGTGTATTTTCCGTAATTCTGAAGCGAAATGTGGTTGTCGGAAATTTTACGGAACTGTCACGTAATTTTTATCTAAAGTCACGGAATTTTTCCGCGGTGTTCCGTATTTTTTATCTGAATTGTCGGTGAAAAATAACAATACCGTCACTTAAATTTATCGAATCAACTCCGTAATCGGTAAGTGAACTGAAAGTTCCGTAATTTTTACTAAATATTTCTCTCCGTGTAGAGTCTAGACAGCCTCAGGTACTTTTTAAAATGAAGCCTTGACGAACTAGCTGATTGTTACTGGCGAGGCCCAGGTTACTCTTCTGCAGAGGGTAATATAATTTTTCTGCTACCCTAACTTTTTCCTTTCTTCACTCTCTCTGGTCACCAGATGTATTTTTGAGGAAAACCTGTACTGAGAAAGTGCCGCCGGGACTTCCCCGTTTTTACAGCACGAAGGAAAGGCGGTAAAAGAAATAAATATTTTCCAAATCCAGAAATTATTTTTTCAAATTTGAAAAGTGAATTTTTGTACCCGGGGAAAACCCCAGTGTCGCACCCAGCTTCACCCTAGCTTCATTTTTATCAACTTTAATGAAAAAACTTTAGTTATTCAATTGAATTTTCTCCATCATAATTTATATTTTGGCTTTTGATATATTTATTCGGATCGAAACAGGTGGTACTGGTTCATGATTAATGATCGCTTCAGGACAGTGTGTCGAGTCAATTTGCATATTCTTGATGATAAATTCCCCGAGGTCGGTGAAACTCATGATTATTATCTCACTATTCACTGTACGAATTAATCAAATTACAGTTTTTGTAAACAAACAAGGAGTGCGAGAATAAAATTTATTAGAATAATTTTCAATACTCGATCGAGTGTTCAAGCAAGAGAGAATTCATAAAATTGATTAATATTTGCAGAAATACTATTTATTATTATTATTATTATTATTATTATTATTATTATTGTTATTGTTATTATTATCATATAGTCGGCTTTATTAGGTAATAATTACCCGGATAAATAAACATTGTTTGAATTGACTATGTAAACTGGATAATTAAAAAAAAGTCCGAATCATCAGATTAATTGGGTCCAGAGGCAAAGGCCCGTGGGAAGTCGCCGTTCCAAATCATGTCAAAACGAATAACAATGGGGGACTACATTGTCAGAGAATGTGTGGGTATGTGTCACAATGGCAGTTGTAATCATGTGACATGAAGCACGCGTCTCCTTCCTACGGGGGCTAAAAAGAATTATTAAAGAATTTTCGACTTCCGAGGGCCATTGCCTCGACGTGGGCTGAAAATCTCGGGATGTTTTAGTAGAAAAATAGTACAAGGGTGGAAAACAGATTTTACCGCACGCCGTGCGCGCATACGTCTATTTTGTCACGGAGGGAACAGAACATTTCAGGTGATATCCTTCAGAAAATAATACATTTCGATGCCATTACGCTCTGCGTGCGCAAAATTCTATTTTCCACACGTTGTGATTAAAAATGTCGTCCAATACTCGCGGGAAAGTGTTTTTTTAGACTTGTGGGATTATATCACTCGCCTTCCGCTCGTATTATATCTGCCCATAAAGTTCACTTAAAGTCCTTGTTTTCCGCGCGGCGTGCGTAAAATGAATTTTGAGTGCGCAAAGCGAAGATTTACGTACGACCTTGACTTTTACGAATTCGGCGCAGACAGACAACCACTTGAACTGAAATTTCATTTTTTCCGACTCATGCTATAGATTTCCCACGGGCGAAAAAAAAACTTTTCCGCACTCGTGCCGGAAAATACTATTTCTGCACGTGTATTCAATTTTATTGTACGACGTCAATTCGAGAATTCAGATGCCCTGAAAAGATGGGTCATTTTTATTGAATACTTTTTTTTCCCCGGTGGACTCTGGTACAAGTTCTGACTCTAGTCCCCACCCGAGACTTGAGTTTAAGTTAAAGCTTCAATGATGCGTACGCAACGCGTGTTCAAAACTCAGTCGTTTGCCGCGCGTCAACAGCGCAACTTCTCATCTCTCCCTTAACTATCATTTCCTTGATGAATGAAAAACAATTACCCCATCATCGATTTTCACCCGCCAGAATATCAGAAAAAAATAAATCACCTGTCGTCATGATTTAAAAATCCAGTGAACGTTTCCTCCCAGTGAGTGACCAATATTAAATAAAAAAAATTAGTAGATTTTAAACATTTGTTTAAACATGAGGGATTCAACCATGTGGACTGTGGGATTTATTTTCTTACACTTGTGGATTTTTGGAGACACGAGGAATTCGTTAGCTGATATTTCTGGTGAGTAAGAAAATAGTGATAATTGTTAAAAAAATAATTCATTGGAGAATTGTTATTGGGTTTATTCCAGGGAATTGAGTTGTTATGTGTTAGTAGTGGATGATTAATTCGATGATGCAGAGACAGATTCATTGAACCCAGTTTAATTCTCGTAGTCATTCGTATAAACTCGTAATGAGAAAAAAGATATCGACGACAGCTTTCCGCCACATGTTCTCTCACTCGATATACGTTTTATTACATATGCGTGGGACACATCCCTCTCATTCAATGTTTTATCATTTTTTTTCCCTGTTGCGAAACGAGTCATTTGAACTGTCTCTCAAAACAATCGGTTCTATCAAACGTTTTGGATTAAAAAATCAACAAACTTCTTGCCATTTTTTAAAAAGATTTACTGCAATCAATTCATTCATTTCAGTTTCATTCATTAATTTACATTTATTTATATCGCGGAAAAATAACGGAAATTTCCATAATTCCGGGGAAAATGTCGGAAATTTATGAAAGTTTCCGGTCATTTTTACCTGACATCGCGGGATTTTTCCCAATTTTTCCCAGGATTTATTCCCGTTATTTTTACTTGATATCCCGATGGCTCGGTAATTTGTTCTAACCGCTCTATATTTCCCGAATGAAAAAAAAAATATTCAGGTAAATAAATGTCAATTATATCTAGACATATAATTAATATATAATTCCGGTAAGAAACTATATCTCAGTTATAATTCTTGGATTAAATCGTCTTGCGGGTTTCGTCAAATGCACCGTAATTTCCCAAGTGGAAAAATATAAATCCAGAAATATATGTCAATTATATCCGAATATATGTCGCATAAATATATTATCTGATATATATTTTGGAGATATCTGTGCAGATATACAGACATCGAAGATATATTCAAAATATAATTAGAATATTTTTAAAATATAATCCCAGCGTGAAAAAATATATCAGCTATAATTTTTGGATTATATAATTTATCATGCGTTTTTCGTCAGTGGTCCGTAATTTTTTCAGAGTGCTCGGCAATTTTTAACAATATATTCGAAGAAATATAAATAAATGGAATAAAACGGGACACGTTATCGTCTTCCCGTGGTTACCACTGTATTTATGTACATATGCACATTGACTCCTCCTACTGCCGCCTTTATTTCCACTTTTATTCACTTTTATTCGCTTTATTTTTATTTTCACTTATCTCGCTCTCTCTGCATCTCCTTTTGAGCTCTTCCTTTTTGTCGAGTGGCTAAATGGAGAACCCGATGGACCCCTGGTGACACCTCTGCTACGCACGTGCGAGGCATAAATTTCCACCGGCAGAATAAAATGACTAAAAAAATTTTTGGAAATATCTTCTCTTTATTTCAATGTTTCTTTTTTATTGTTCGGGTGTTGGTGGGATAAATGCGAGATAAATAATTGTTTCTCTCAATTTTCATTATTTTCATTTTAAAATCTTTTTTTATAGATAACGAATTACAATTAAAAAAATGTTAAAACTCAATTTTTCGTGGAATTTTAATATTCAGAAATTAAATGATATTTAAGTGCAATTTTTTTTTGCTTTTTTTTATAATTTTTATGGAATTATTAAATTGAAAAATCGAGGATTTTATTGATTTTTGAGGGAAAATACTGGAAAATTCATTTTCAATGATAACATTTCCGGTAAATTCACGGGGAGTTGATAAAAATTTCCGGAGTTTTGTAATTTACACTTTAATTTAGTTTATAATTTATTCATTTCGATCGGAGATTTTTATGACTTTTTATTTTTAAAACGAGATCGTATCGGTTTTCACAAAAAAAAAAATGTAAAATTGATGAATAGTTAATGGACTAGCTGACGAAAGTAGATCAATAAAGAAAGTACTGTCGATAAATTCCGTGTGTAAACTATCGATTGATCGATAATGGTAATAGCCCGTGGTGTTGAAAAATAGATGAATGCTTGGTTTTAATATTTCATGGGGCATGATGTCGGTGATTACGAGGGAATAAAATGGAGGTAATCACTCCGTAGGTGATAGGATGGCAAATTCTTATACATCGCGATCAATTACACGAGAATTAACGCGAATTGAAACGTGTGCGCAGGGCAACAGAACCGCTCCTATAAGTATTTATTTTAATTCTATCAACAAAAATGTATCTGGAGACCTGTATTAAAAAAAAATCAAATTTTTCCACATAAACTATTTAAATTCCAACAAAAACCGCGAGTTCACGAGTGAAAAAACGCGAAATCCACTTTTCACTAAATTTTCTCGCCCAGTTTTCGGCTGATATCTCAGAATCCAACAGAGATAGCAATATTTGTGTGAATACCATTGCTGTAGAGAATTAGAAGAGCTGCAAAAAAGGTGATTACAAAAATCTCGCTATCTACCTTCAATTCCGAGATATCAGCCAAAAACTGGAGATGAAAAAATGCAGTTTGAAGACTGGCTACGGAATTGTAAAGATTAACGTGGAAAATATTGAAAAAAATAAAAAGGGGGGGTGGTACACGATAAGGGGATCTCTAACAATTCTCAGAAGGCATATGAAATGATTAAAATTGGCGGGAATGGCAGTGCAATGAATCAACAGCTGCGTCTGATGACAATTCTCCTCTCAAATGAATCATTTGCAATTGGATCCTGTGGATCGAGAATTTTTCATCGAAATGGAATTAATTTTAATGATCGATTTTAATTAATCTTCTCAATGACAGACTGTTGATAGAATTAACTGACTGATGGCGTCATCGAATTTGCAATTGAGTGGAATTAGCTAGAGACAAGCCTTCACTATGTAATTGCATGTGCGCGCTTCCATTTTACATCAGTACATGATCTCCATTTTTTAAATCATCATGACGTAATTTATGTATGATTTAAATGGACTTTAGGCTGATGTGAAAAAATGTCGAGGCTCTCCATTTTTTAATATCTGAACATCAATCAATGTTCATTTATGGATGGTTTATTTTTGTGACATCACTTAGACTAATTACTCTGGACAATGCGGTATTCTTAATTGCTCTCGATAATTCACGAGATTTACGGATTTAGTTTTGAAAGGGGAGAAGTGTTTGCCCTCTGGGTCGGAAATGTTTTGAGCTATTTTAGTTTAAACCACAAAGTGAGCAATCGTAACAGCGGTCGAAAATTTTCGGAACGAATTCTTAGATTTAAATAAAACCGTTGCAAATTGTTTTTAACATTTATGTAACAAATTTAAATTTTCGGCTTTAAATTTCGAAAAATTTCGGTTCGCTGACTCCACTCGCATTTTATTGCAAAATCTAAATAAAAGATATAAAGTTGAAAGTAAAAAACAAGTTTGTTTATTTATAGGAGTTAATAATTATTATTTATTGTCAATTTCTCATAAAGGAGAGAAACCTATAAATTATCGATGAATAAATAAAAAAATTGAAAATGCAAATCGCAGTTTACGAAAACCTAAAAATATTTTTATATTATAAAAAATGTTTATTTAACAGAAAATTCTGAGGGTGAATAAACAAAACACCCCCCTCCCGATTCCTTTAAATAAATGAATAAATAATAAATCTATAAATAAATACAAAATAATTTCGAGAATTACTAATTTTATTAATTTAAACTATAAATTAATTTAAATGATTAATTAAAAAAATAAATAGTTAAAATACATTGTTTGTATGTCCATAAATAATGAAATCTATAAAAAAATGAAAAATATTTTACAAAAATGTGTTGTTTCCCTTAAAATAATAAAACGTGTATTCCGTCACCGGAAGTTCACGGACAACATCCACATTGCGAGTTTGAGATACGACAAATGTCGAGAGACAGATCGAGCCTCGAATATTTTTCGTGAGACTGTCCACGAGACGGTGCGACAATTTGCAGTTAATTGGCATCTATTAACTTAATTGTCCCCACCACATGCATCAGTGTCTTTGAACTGAATACGCTCCCCTCGTTCTCCAGAAGCCGAAATAGAACATTAATAATAACCACTGAAACCCCCAAAAAGGTATTCCATTATAATAATATTGGATGAAATTGGGCATTATTATTTAAATAAATAATTAATTATATTGAAATTATAGAATTATACAGAAACACGAAATTTTCCTGAGATTTTCCCCGGCGTTTCACAAATTTTCACAGAATTCCTTTTGAAAAATTACAATGTAGAATTATAATTCAATTGTTATTGAATATTTCCCACCATTTTTGGGCCCTAAACCCCAAAAGTTGATTAAATAAACGATTGAAATGATCCGGGCATATTGACCTTTGACTGATCCCGAAGAATTGAAAATTCTCAAGAGAATTGAAAGATTTTTCCTGTCCCTGAAATGACGACTGTTGCTGAGGGTCCCTGTCATAAAACGGGGCCCGCATGCCCATGGGGCGTTTCTTGTTAAAAACCAGACGTTCCACATGTTGGAGATAAGCATAAGTGCAGAAATCGTCTCCTCTTACCTCCTGGGAAATATTCGGAAGAAAATCCAACAGACTTTTTTTTTCCTCCAATTTTTTTGTCACTGGAGGGCCCTTTTGACACCAGACGATGACACTTCATGTGGGCCAACACAAACCGATGACTTCTCTATTTTTTTTCTACCCAATGGACTTTTTGTTATTGTTTCTGCACTTGCATCGAATTAATCATCAAATGTTTAAATTGGAATTGAAAAATATGAAATTTTCATTCTCCACAGCGATAACTCAACAGAAATTAGTTTCTTCTCTGGATCCATAATTATATTAAATTAATTAATAAAATTAATTTAATAATTAATTTAATTAATTAATCCATCTATATTTATACGTATGTGAATTATAAATGTAGAATATATTGGCAATAACTATCTAGTGTAAATAAATATATTATCTGTTATATAAATATATTAATTTTCCTTTTAGTAATTAAATTTGTAAAATGGCCGAGAGGCTGATTACACATCCTAGTATATCAGGACCGTTTAACAAACAACAAAAGTCAGCAATTAAATTAATATATTTTTATCTAAATACATAAATTTTATTTTATTGACTTCGATTTTCGAATCATCAAATTCCGGCCAATTCTCATGCAAGGAAGTAATCAGGAAATGTAATTTAATTTAAGAAAGTTATGAAAAAATCACGTGAATTACATGCAATTATATTTTTTTCAGAAATGTCGTGTTGCTCGTATGCCACTGGGTCCTGCCGCAGTGTCTGCTCTCAGGTTTGATTTTCAAAAAGATCATTTTCATTTTTTCGACATAGAGCATTTCCCCGGGGAGAAAGTGCGTTTTTCGGGGAAAACTGAAGTCAAATCCCGAATTCTCCCGGGGATTTTTTTGAATTTCGTGTGGGTGGGTCCTAGGGAGACTGCGTTGGGCCCCGCTGGGAGATTTGAACACCGCCCACAGGGGGGCCACTCATTCATAATCGTACCTTGAAGTCCCCTCAACAATAAGTACATTTAAACAATCAGAAGAATTTTAAAAAACCGCGGAATCTTGTCTTTATTTTTATTTCTAAAAAGAATTCCGCGTTTAAAATTCAAAAATTGATAATTGATAAAATTGATAAAATTAATTGATCCATATGATCACTCCAAACAATTAATGAATTATTTAGATATAATTTTTCATGTATGTCGTGAAAATTTTGGTGTCGTAATTATTTTTTTAATTTCCATTTTTTGAACTTTCGAATTTTCATTTTTCGGTGTAAAATTTTCCCCGTAATTTCATTTCGGCGTCGAATTATGAGATCGTAACTGTCGGAAATAGTTCTGGATATTTATTTTTTTATGACGACGAGGGGAGACTTCACTTTGAAATTTTATGAATGTTGACGGATCTGAGGTTGGAGAACCCCCAAGTGTTTTTCTTCTTGAGGATGAGATTATGGAAGTGAAGAATAATGCGGTGACTACTGATGAGCACTTCCTCAACTTCGGCATCTGAAAGTGGAATATAACCGGAAGTTGTGGATGACTTCAATGCGGATTTTTACTCTGACATATTTTCGTCTAAAAAACCATTTCAATTATTTAATCTGCACTATATCTCCGGAAATTTCTGATGCCTCCATTTCTCATCGTCAACTTCAAAGATCTTAATCCCAGGATTCTCTGAAAATTTCCGATTTTCTATCAACCCCATACATTTTGCATTAGCAATAAATTTGAATTTGCATTTGTGTTGGAAATATTTTCGACATTAAAACGAACAAGAGACCCGTTGTAACTAATCAGAGGGAATAATGGAAACATTTAGGCTGTTTATTACGAAACAGCCCAACACGTGGACCAACTCCATAGACAAAGGGCCTAGTGGGTAGACCTGACACCCTGGACGAATTGGTGACCGGGGAAAACTTGAAGACGAACTCTTGAGCAAGCAACATTGAATATTAACAACCTAGCTTACATTACACCAAGTCTTTAACTAAAGTTTAATTTTTACCAGTAGATGAAAGATTGAGTTATTTAAGGCCCGGATAGACTGCCTGCACTGAGAGAAATATTCAATAAAAATTACGTGTATTTTCCGTAATTCTGGAGCGAAATGTGGTTGTCGGAAATTTTACGGAACTGTCACGTAATTTTTATCTAAAGTCACGGAATTTTTCCGCGGTGTTCCGTAATTTTTACC